CACCTGCTGCCCACTTGCATCATCTGCACAGTGATTTCGTTAGTCAGGACTCAACTTTGTCACTGTGCCTGTGGGACCCAGCCTGGCTGAAGCCTGTATGTGCCCCCAATAAGTTACCACTGTACCACAAGAAACAGCTGTACTGGTGGTCAGTGATTAACTGGTCACAAGCAAGGAATTACCAGTGTTGAGAACAGATGTGCCCCATGGCTGTACCCTCCTTTCTGAGGGGAAAGGTACCAAACTGCATGTTCAAGTTTGGTAAACAGAAGCATCCTTATTTAAAATCTTTTTTTCTATCAGGTGAAATTACACTTGTGCAAGAGGTTTTCAGGACTTCATTTGAAAGCATTTATTTAAACCCATAAGTTGCTTTCTAACAAACTGAAATGCCCTTGCTGATATGGCCACATCCTCTATCAGATGACTCATTACATACAGTTCCCACAGAATGAACCTGGGAGATGCTGACCTTTTTGTCACCAGAGAAGTGTAAGTTGCTAGAGCTGGAACCAAAATCGGGGGGGGGTGGTTGGCCATTGCTCCCCAATCTGTTATCACACAGCATTAGAACCAAGTCATGCTTCTTTTGTTCCAGTGTCAAAAAGACGCGTACCTTTCCCATTTTAGTTTCAAGCATTCCTGAGATGGTAATTTATCAGGATGTCAAGCATCAAAGCTTGCAAGCAGAAAAAAAACAGAAATGATGGAAAAACAGATAGGGGGGAGCTCATAAAAGAAGATACAAGCTCCAAGTACATGCATCATGCAATCCCTGTCAGTTTGTATCTCTGTTTAACTGTGAAACCTGTTATAGCAACTACTAGTGGTTTGTTTCCTCAAATGAAAAGCAATGAATATAATTTTTAAGTTCCTTGACAAGTTGTCATGCAGACCTATCACAGTCATAAGAAAGGGGCACAGCAGAGCGTAATGGCAAGATGTGTAGCTGACAAAATATCAACTCTCTGAAGGCATTCTAAAGGGATATACAGCAGGATAAATCTTCCATTCAAATGAAGGCAATCCTCATTGAAATTATATGCTAAATTGGCATGAATCAGAGGGCTACAATGAAAGGTTGTGTTGTTTTCTAAGCTTGAAAATTAATGTGAGTAAGGTTGTCCATTTCCTTTTTTTATTTTCCCTCGGGAGTAAGCAAATTAGGCAAATATATGTCAGAGTATAGCACACAGCAATTGTGCTGTTTCTCACCATTTTTATGGACCCTTCTATCTCTTTCAAATTTTACGTGTTTTCTGTCTAATACAGCAACATGTTCCTCCTGCTTGCTAAAACCTCAGTTCCCTCCTCTCCCAAAGCCTGCAGAGCCTGGGCTAGCCTGGCTCCAGCCTGGAAGAGTTCACAGCTTGGAGTTCGGGTTGTGAACTCATACAGCCTGTAATCCCTTAAGCCTTGCATCCCACAGGAGAATTAAGGATGAAGAGGGCTGCATCTGTGGATGTTGGAGAGGGGAGAAACAGTGCTGATGGGGAGCTGAGCAGAAGGAAGGCATGGGGTATGTGGGTAGGTGGTGGGTGCTGCTGGGCAGCATTAGCTAATTGGGAGGGCTGGCAAAATCCAAAGGGCTAAGCCAGAACCAAAGGGAAGGGTGATGTTGAGCAGCAGGAAGAAGGGCAGAGCTAGTCAGAGTGCATGGTGGAAGAGGGCAAGGAAGGACTCAGAGGTTATAATCCACAGAAAGATGAGCCAAGTGGGCAGGCATTGGGCTGAAGGGTAAAGCTGACAGGGATTGGTAGACTAGTTTGATTTTGGGGTATTGGAAGAATTCACTCCTTGACATGTTCTTGGCAAAGGGTGTAAATCACTTTTCTCCATAACCCCGGTGCAGGGAAGGCAACTGCTCCCCTCCCTCACTTCCATGCACCCTTCTCTCCCTAAACACACGCTCAGAAAACAGTCAGAGGAAGACTAAACATAATACAAGAGGTTTTCTACCTTGACCCTTTTATTTTTGGGAGGTGGAAAGTTTGGAGTTATGATTTTAAAACTCTCCAGGGAATACTATGCCTAGCTTGGCTCTCAGCTAATGAAAAAAGCTGTTTATCTAATAGACCTTTAATCACAAGCTCTACTTAAAAATCAATTACATGATACAACCATTATAGTTAAGCTCTAAATCTCATGTATCTTTCTGTTATCTGAGGATTTTTGTCTGAGATAACAGAGATTGATACATAGCCAGATTTTCAAATGCTCACCATAGAGTATGGGCCAGGTTTTTTCATCCAGCTGTTCCTGTTTTGAATGCTTATACAGCAGGTTTTCAGAGGCTTTATCACCTACGGCAGGCACTGTGGTTCGAAAGACCACTTCCCCATTTATGTGAGCAATTAGGGGTTCAGCTGCCTTGGGAACCTGACCACAGCCCCGAGTGCAGACGACATTTAAAAGTTTTGGCCCCCAAAGAGCAGATCTGGAAGGCATTCTGATTAATTTTAGCCTAATCACTCTAATAAAGCACAAAGGACCACAAATAGAAGATGGTGCAGTGCCTGGAGGACAAGTTTTCTTGATGCTCTCTGATCTTGCTAAGACTCCATGCTGTTTTTATATATTTTGCTTCTCTAACATGACTGTGTTACACGTGTAGGCAAACCACATACCAGCACATCCTTCACTGTGCCCACAGGAGTGTGCAGCTAAGCAAGCCTGGGCACAGCTGTGATTTGGGTGGCAGGGAGGCAAGGAGCAAAGGAAAGGGCTGCAAACCGGTGCAGTATTTCCCACTGCCTGTCTCTACCTGACATGCAGTTAGCAGAGAAGAAACATCAAGGAAAGGTCAACAGCTGCTCAGAGCGGTTTCAGGTCAGACATATACTTGGGGTTGCCAGCAATGTAATGGGAAGCAGCTGAAGAGGTCATGCTTCCATTTAGCATCTCACAGTGACAAGCTCTGACATTTTAACTAGGTGCTACTAAGAGAACATATTTTCAGTACCTTATATGATATAAATTATCTTAACTCAGTCACTTCCAGACACCTTAGGCAAGTTCCTTATTTCAGGCTAGATACTAGTCGTACAAAAAGACTCAGATATGACTGAAAAGCTTTCTTATATTGACAGCATCATCCCTAAAAATAAACAGGAAATCTGTTATACATGGATAATACTAATTAGAAAATAAGTGTTGGCTTAGTCTACTGAAGAAATGTCTTCATTAATAATGTTGGTCTTGATTTAGGTTATTTTTCTCTGAAAGCTAATATCTTTTTCCTGTAACTCTAGTTGCGTGTCCTTGTTTATGTAAACTGCAGACATTTCTCATCCAGAAGTACTGTGGTAGCCTACCATAAATGGCAGAAAACCTGTAACTTGTATAAATTAGTGACCCCAAAGAAAATCTAAGTGTCTTTGGCTCCAGCAAGTCAAGATTTTATGTAACTTCATTCCATGTTGTTCTCCTCTGCATTTCCACATTCTCTTAAGCTCCTACAGCCTATTTCACCCTTGCAGTTATTTATCACTGTAGTCATATGCCTTCATCCTGCAGCTTAAAATCAGTCAAACAAGTCACTGAGGTCAGTAAGATTTGGGCTTTTTGATTTAACCCTGAATGGAAGCAAGGGAATCAACTTCACCAGATTGTCTCATTAATAGTGTTGGGCACTCACAGCCCATTATTTGGAAGGAACATTCTCTTGTATTTACAGTAAGTTTCATCCAAAGCTCAAGACAGGAACTGTACTTCTGTTTTTGAGGACTACCTGGTTAATTTAACACATCTCTCCTTTTGTCAACGTCTTCTGTGTTTTCCCCAAGACTACAGTGCTGTCTCTCTTTGACGCATTGCTTAGAGTACATTATGACAACTATAAGAACTAGGACAAGAGCCTGTCTTGCAGCTCAGTGCCACTCCATTTTGGGTTGTACCTTTATGCGTCCTCCTGCTGAACAAGTCCAGGGTTAACTGTGGTCAGAATAATTGTTCTTTCTAGGCACAGCCAATGTGGCAACTTGTTCTTTGATGGACACTGCTGGCAAATGCCCTGAGCTGAAATACAGGTAGACTTCAGCAACACTAAATGCCACCTCTGGAGAAACCCTTGGCTAATGCCAAACTTGCGTTAGCAGTGCAGACTGCTGCCAGAAAGATTTCTTTCTGCTTGCCAAAAGGGAGACTAACTGCCTTCTCCATCAGTGTTTTACGGATTTCCAAGGACCCAGCACAACCTTGGATGTCCAGTGAAAATTCTTGCTTTGCCCTGCAAAGCATTTGTCATGCTGATTAATGAAGGGTCTAGTAAGAGAGGCAAGAATCATTGTTATATTTTAATATTGCAAGAGAGGAACTGTATTAAAATACAAAAGCTGCAAATAAAAATGACAAAAGGGTGAAGGAGGAAAGCACTGGAGGCTTTGACAGTGTATGCTACTGTAGGAAAAACACTTCTCATTTTACCAATAAATCACTGGTCTTCAGGAAAAAAAAACACTTAGGGACATGGATAACAGCCCTAAAGGAAACGCTAAACCCATCAGGCAATAAGGACACCCCTCGAGAAAGGTAAAACAAGATGGTTTTTTCGAAAGCTAATGGAGTAAGTCATCTTGACGGGAAAAGCAAACCCGCTCGACCTCGAACCAACCCCCAGAAGAAATCGCCGAGGGGAGGTGGCACGGCCACCCCTGGGACGGCGAAGCGGGATGTGCCTCGGCGGAGCCCGGCCCTGGGTCGCGGAGGGAGCCCCTTCCCGGTCGGGGAGAGGGCAGGAGCCGGCCCGGATGCAACAGGTCGCCAAGCCTTGCGCGCTCCCACCCGCACGGGTGCAGGTTCAGCCCGACCCGCTCGGCCGCCTCGGAAGAGCCGCTCCACGAAACCTCTCCCCCTGCCCAGCGCCCAGTCGCCCGCCCCGACCCTCCGTGGTTAAAGCCCTCACGCTCCTCCTCTTCCTCCCCCCTCCATCCCGGGCTGCCGGGGTGGTCCTGCAGCCCGGGTCCGGAGCAGAGCCCGCCCTCCGTAATCCATGCGCGGGCGGCACCGGCAGCACGGCTGGCGCGGCGCTCTGAGGCGGAGCGGGGCGGGCTGTGCCGTGCTGGCCGTGCCCGCCGCCTCCGGATCGCTGTGCCCGCTTGGCCGGTGAGTGCTGCGGGCGGGGGGGGGGGACGTGAAGAGGGGTCCCGGGGCGGCTCCGCCAGGCCGGGGGGGCGGGCAGCAGGCGGCGGTGAGGCTCCTCCGCCTTCTCCCGCTGCGGGCGGCAGAAGATCCTGGCCGTGAGAGCACGGCCCCTTCCCCTGCGGGAGGAAAGGGTCGGCGGGCGGGGAGCTGCCGTGAGAAACCAGGTGACGGGGAGGGGGTGGTTGTGGAGGGAGTGGGGCTGCCGTCGGGAAGGGGGTCGGTAGGGATCCCGGAGGGCTTAGCCGGGGCTGGGCGAGCGACCTGTGGGACCGGGGAGCAGCAGGATGGAGGCGCCCCAAGAGCGCGCGGTGAGGCGGGGGCAGGTCGGTGCTGAGTGGGGCCGGGGAGCGGGATGGCGGGAGGGACGGGTTCGGTCGCGGGGAGGGGGCTGCGGCACGGCGGGGGGATGCGGCCGGTCCGCGGGCAGCCGGGGCGGGCCCGCCCGCTGAGCCAGCGGAGTGGGGTGGTGGGCGCGGCGCGGCGAGGGCAGCGCGGTCCCTCCTCGGGGGGCCGCGTGTGGCTGCGGCGGCTGCGGAGGGGTCGGGGGGCTGCTCAGAGCTGCCGGGCGCTGAACGGAGAGTAGCGGCGGGAGCTGGGCGGGGAGAGCCCCACAGATCTCTGGGGCGAGGGGGAGCCGCTCCGCGGCGAGGAGGAGAACGAGGGCGGCCGCTGAGGGCACCTGCCTGGGGCGGGGGGCGGGCGGTGGGGCCTGAGCCGTCCCAGGGAGGCGGACGGGGACAGGGTGCTGTCCTCGAAATGTGCTCGTCAGGGGTAGGGGGGGCAAGGAGGCGACCCCCCGGCGGGGCTGTGAGCGGGGACAGGGCCCGTCCGCTGCCGCCGGTCCCGCTCGGTACGGCAGCGCTGCGGCGGCTGCCGCCCGCCCCGCAGGAGCTCCCTGGGGCGGTGCTGGCGGTGGCTGCTCGCTGAGCACCTGGGCACATCGCGCTGGCACGCCCCGGGTGGCCGCGCGTTTTTTTCGTCAGGGTGAGCTCTGCAGTGAGCCGGGATCCTCATCCGAGAGCTGGGGGAAAGGGGCAGATGTGGTGGTAAACGTAGGGTTGTATCTTGTGCACACACATGCAGAGCGAGCAGCTGAAGAAACTACCACATCGGCCGGTATTCCAGCAGAGGCAGAGCTGCGGTACCCGCGCTACTCTGCAGTTTGCAGATCAAGGACTAAGCAGCATGTTAGAGGAAGAGGTCTCCACGGTTTTAGTAATTGGAAAGGGGATGAGGGAAAGGCTTGGTCTCAGCTGCTAGTGGGTGTATGTGGGGTCTGTCGTATCTTGGTACCTTGGTGTTGGGACATGTAGGCGGCACTCATCAGTTCACCTTTGCCAAAAACTGCCTGTTTATGGGCTGGACGTACTGTGTTTTAAAATTTTCTGTGTGATGCTGAAAAGTAATCTCACAAGAAATGCTCTATGAATACTGGGGTAAATGCATCATTTAAAATCAAGTTATATATATTTGTTTATTTAGTGAAAATGTGCTTTAAATATTTATGCAGTCAGCTGAAAATCAGACCTGCTGATGTTCAAAGGAAGGTATCTCCCCTGGAATTTTTACAGGTCTGTTTCTGTTTGCAAATGGCTGTGACTTGTAAAACAGCAGGATTTTTTGATGCTGCTTTTTTAATTTATGTATTTTGAAATTATTGAGAAGCTGCTCAAACCAAACTGGATTCCGAATACCCAGTTTTTCATCACTTGAGCACTTACTCATTTTGAACATACAGCAAGCAAGTCAGGTGCGTACTGAGGCTGCCTTGTGTGGAAGATACTATTTGTGTAGTATTTCTCAGAGCTGCCAGGCTCCTATTCTGCAGTCAGTCCCTAGTGCTTGCTAGGTTTATTTGCTTCCTGCTCCTCCTATGGCAACAGGTTGTAAATGTTGGTAGGCTTAGGGCAGATTTAGTTACAGAAAACTAGACCTTTTTAGCTTACCAGCATCTAACTAGGCTTGCTCTTTTGGGTCTCTTGAATGGAAAGGTGGTGGTGTGGGTTTGGTCTTTTTTGATGCATATTTAGGATTTTTAATCTACCTGTAACTATCTGTTTTGTGGCTCTTCTCATTCGTTTCACTCTTCGGGTGGTTGCTGGTTCGGATGCAATCTCACTCAAGGGGATTATGGACTTGGATCTTCAAATGTATAATTAAAAAATGTAACAAATGTACCCAGCACCTTTGTGTGGGCTTCCTATGGACAACTGCATCTTCCATCATCCTGCCCCATCCTGGTTCATTGCCAGCGGGATCCACCATTGAGCTTTAGCAACGTAGCCCCTGGTTGATTGAATTTCAGTTCACGGGGTTAATCATCGTTGCATCAGTGCACTGCAGTGTTGTATTTGCGTGAATTGCAGTGTTGAACAGAAGGAGGCCAGTCCCATTGAAACAATGAGCTGGATATCCTGCTGCCTCTGAGCTCTGTTATCTGGAGTTGATGTATCATGGAAGCAGTTGCTGAACTAATGCATCTTGCTCTGTCTCCTCTCCCCTTGTTAAAATTACAGTGGAGGTGCTGAAGTTTTACTGGTTTTGGAAAAGATTACAATATTTTTAATAATGGATAGGATATATCTGAGATATGATAATGCTGCTGCATGTGTGAGCTATCAACAGATAGCATTTAAAACCCCAGGAATTATGTTTAGTGACTTGCATGTGTAGAATATTAGTGTTAACTACAGAATAAAATACAAAAGCTTGAATCTTTTAAAGATGGCCACTTGCAAACAGAAAATAATTTAAAGATTTTCATTATTATATATCTTGTTATGTATCTTCATGGGGTGTGTGGTTCTGGTTTCTCTTTTTATTGAAACACAGTAGTGAAATGAGTAGCTTATTTGATAATTAATGTAAGCATTTCAAAGTTTCACACAGCTTCTTTACATTCACTGTTTACTTGAACTTGGGGAGAGTTGTAATGGCAGTGCCTGTAGCTCACTGACTGCAGTGATGCCACACTGTGTCTGAAGAAATGAGATGGCCACATGCTGCAATGAAGATTAGCATAAACTGCTAAGAGAACTTGAGTTCTCTTTATATGTGTCACCACTGTGTATGCCATTCTTGCAGTTCTTACAATTACAAGTTTCATGGATAGATTTTTTCTCTTTAATGCTGTTTATCCAGCATATTTAACTACTAATATGCTCCCAGCTAAGTTTCTTTTAGATATCAAGAAAAGGATAACTGCTGGGAACTTTTTACATCTGAGTTATTTTTAAGTAGGTTGAATACATATTGGATACTCAGAGGTATCCTGACTTATAGGTTTAACGGTGTTTCCACAAGTTTCTGATCATTATTAATATAACCTTGAAAATATATTAGTGTTTTATGTAGTATAGAGGAGAACTGGTGTCAGACTGGAGGATTATATATACCGTGTTTACTGTGATGCATTTGCCAACAAAGGGAGAATGGAGTATGGTCAGAATTCTGCAGATTCTTTGATTTGTATGAAACTCACCTGAACTTTATAAAAACTTGACTGAAAATTATGAGGAGTTGGAGACTTTAGTAGTGTCTTCGGAATTGAAAATTTATGTGTCTCCACTTAGCAGGATATTGTTAGTATTTGTGGTACAAGGAGTGTCCTTGTCTTGAAAGTGCCCACTTTGTCTTGGTTAATACATGACTTTGCATTTCTAGCAGGTGTAGCGATTGTTTTCCCATGTTGGGGGGATATTTTGACGGTGCTTTATTTGCCCGTTTGTGCAATTAGATAGACTCTAAATTGTCTTTAGTCTAAAATCTATCAAAAAAACCCAAAGCTCATGTGTACTTTCTCTTCTGCTCTCTTTCTAGAATAGCAGAATGCACCACAGAGAACATGCTTTGCCTTAAGACACGAGTTAAGGAAGTCATCTTCTCCATTTCAGCTTTCACAATCACACCTACCAATTCCCTGACTTAGAAAACATAAACCTGACTTAGAAAAATTGTTCAAACCTCTTTTAAGAAAACCAAGTTGAATAGTAGTATATCAGACTTCTACGATCTTCACTGTTCTGTCATTAAGGCAAAATAATTTGTTTCCCCACTTAGTTTTTATGTGTGGAAAAAACCTAAGTTTTTTATCATAAAACTTAGGTTTTATGATATTTTGTCCTGTAGAGTTTCTGTAGATTTTATAATGAACTGCAGCCTAAGCAGTTCTAACTTTCTGACCTTTCTGTGTTCAACCCTAGAGCAAGAGATGCATAAAATAAAATTCCACTAAAATATCTTTTAGACTGAAAAAAAACTGGTCTTAAGAAAAAAATAAAGGAGGAAAATTAATATTTTGGATCTAGACTTTTTTTTCTTTCATTAATCTTTAGCAAAATATTCTTTTCCTGATAAGAAAATACTCATGGTGTAATGTGTTCTAAATTACTGTGTTCCTGTGTTGAACATCATATCGCGGAGTGGTTGCTAACATCATCTTTTTGAATAAGGCTTGGATAATTGTGCTATTTGTAGCATTATTACTGTTCATTCTTCTTGATTTTTGCAAGGCATGAGGGGGAAAGATAGGCTGGAATTTTCCCTCTTAACTCAGTTGGACTGTGGGGAAACAAAACTGTCTCTAGTTCTTTGATCTGATCTTGTATTCCTTTGTTCCATATTTTTCTTGATCTTGATCTCTCCTTTGAGTGCAGCACAGACTACTAAACAGTGTGATTTTTTGCAAGTCAATACTGGTTTTCAGAAAGGTAGCCTGTGTTTTACTGGAGACTGTAAAGCATGGGAGAGACTTAGGTCTCACCTTACTACATGTTTAAAGTCTTCCGTCTTCAGCATCTCTTTGACCTGGAAATACCTTGGAAGTAAAGGTTGTTGGTGTAGAATTGGGCTGACTGAACCTGTGAGGTTATTTTGCTCTCTTTGTTGCAGGGGAATGGTCTGAACACTGTGGCCCATGCAGAAGTGAAGGAATTTTACCTGGCTCTACTAGATGCAGTCACTGGTTTTGTCAGAAACCTAGGGGTGTTTCTCCTTACGCTTCTTAGGTAGTGGTTGATTAAGCTGCTGTGATTTTGTACATTCAAAATGTTCTTGAACCTGTATAAGCACCCAAAGTTAATGACACTGAGCTTTAGCAATTTGTGAATAAAAATTGTTGAGTTGACTTCCCCAGTTCCTAGGGAGAGCCTTGAGGTAGCTGGAACTAATAGGAAGTAATTGTTGACACCCATTGTCATCTGTCAGGAGGGTGAAGTTTTGTTGGTTTTGGTAACTTTTCAGTGATGAATATTTTTTTTTCCTTAGTCTTGAAGGACAATTAGGAGTATCTAGCTGTGAAGGTTTTACTCAAAGGTTTAGATTAAAGAAACTACAGGATATGATTTGTAATAATTGTCACCAACTACAGAACTATCAGGTGGCTGATTAAATGTATTGTGTAACTGTTGTGACACGACATATTGTACTTAGTCAGAAGCACAATTCATACACTGTTCTTTTAGTTTTGTTTCCCTCGGAGCTGTACCAATGCTCTGCTTTGTTTTTGAAAACTCACTGACCTGGAACTGTGCATAATTGTTTTTTCCACCTCTTTCAAGTACAGTGTATGTAGTATACCATATTATTCACAAACTTCAATTTTTTTTTCTTTCCTATCCTATCTGGGACACTTTTCCAACTATTGATATGTTCAGTTTCCACAGAAGGTTGCAGGTTATCTTGCACTTTCCTATTTGCTTGCACATATCTTAAAGAGCTCTTTCTTTCTTTTTTTTTTTTGCCAGAGATGGTGCGCTGAGTCATTTCCACGAGAGGCTGCTGTACCACTCTGAAGTTGGAATACATTAAAGAATTGAAGGTGTGAGAGTGTACCACTGTTCTCCTGGCTAAAAAACTGCCCCCCAACTGAATGTACTGAAGATTTCTAGACTTGGTCGGACAAATATCTCTACCTCCAATTTTATGAATACTGCTAGCTATGGCTGTGGAACTCTGTTTGCTGCTGCTGCTGTTTTGTGGAAGTACTATTTCAGAGGTACAGCCTATATACAAACCACCTCCTGGGACTTTGGATTTTGGATTTGTACCATCCAAGACGTATGATACAGGTGCATACCATGAACCTGGGTCAATAGGAATTTTGTTTAAAATAGTACACGCATTCCTGTACTTAGTGCAGCCAAATTCTTTTCCTCAAGGTAAGCAGATAAACTACTTTTTTTTAAATACAGACTTGTTATTGATGCTGTCACCCTATTGTAGATACCAAGGCCATAGTCAGGAAGTAAATTACATGAAGGGCTTTGTAAGTAGCATGTGTTATGGTCTGGAAATATGTACAGTTCTCTATAAAAGAACATTTTTCTGCTAAGCATGGTGGGGAGGAGGTTGTTAATGAAAATGAAATATCGGGGAAGTTTCAAATCTTACCTATCTCAAAGCTGTCACTGATGCATTTGAGGCTTTTTTGCATAACTGAAACAGCCTGAGACGGGAGTAGAGGATAAACTGCTTTGTATTTAGTGTTAAATCCATAAGAGACAACTCTCTGAGATTTGCATATTATGATAAACAGGTGTTTATAATATTAAAAGATTTAGCCTAGGAAATGGAAAATTTGAAATAAATTTTATTTGTTTTCAAGTCTGTGCATCCATGGTCAAATTTTATATAAGGACGGTTCTGTTATGCAGCCTTGTGTAGCTTCTTGTGCCTTTGAAAGCTATCAAGTTAAGACTTGAAACTGCATTTGTTTTATTGAGATGTTTTTCCATTCCTTTCCTACTAAATTGTCCCTTCTAAAGGAAAAGTTAAGATATCAGAGAAGTATGTGTTTATTGAGGTTGCATTGATTAAAAGGTGCTTTTGGAAACCTTGTGTGTTTGTGGACGTGGTAATTATATGAACTGAACTTTTCGACCAACTTTTTGTTTCATTTAGCTCTTAAAGTGCTAATGTGTTTGTATAATATTGGCATTTGAAATTATATTGAGGTGAACCTTTGATAAAATCTAAGAACAGCTTTGGTTTGTAACTCCTTTTGGTTATTTAGCTGTGACTGTATAAGAGGTGTTTATATTATTTCGTAGTACAGCTTTCAGTTTATACATTAAAACTTTTAGTAATTTAAAGCCTAAAATAAGTTCTTTGGTCAAATGTTCACATACATTTATGATATCTTTGAACTACTGTATGCTTGTATTTTTGATGTTTCTTCATGCAGCTCTGACAGAGCTGGAGCAGAATGAGCTCGAGTGAAATGGAATGAATGAATTCTATTTAGACAAGTGCTCAGAGTCCCAGGGGTTAACAGCAGAGTACCATCCTGGCCTGTTACCTGCAGGATCTGTCTTTTGAGCAGGTCTTGCACGAGATGTAATGAGGGCAGTTGTATGAGGGTGACAGTAATGTCACCTTTTGGAGGAACCGTTTCCAGATATCTCTGCTTCTTTTCCTTCATTCCTTCTGATAATTATGCAGGTGAACTATTTACCTCTCTGTGAGACCTGGGAGGTGAGGATTGCCATCTGCATTCAACTCTTAGAAACAGGCCTTCATTCTGCCTAAAGCCTGCTTGAATTGAATCAAGTGGAAACTTGATTTCAGTGAGATGTTTACTGTGGTTTTATATTATCAGCAATTTGGTCTGTAATCTCGTATGTCAAAATTAATATCATGTGTCCTAAGCATGTGAATAATTAGTGAATATAGAATTTATGATCAAGATTATTGTCCTGTGGGACTGCTTGTAGTGAGTTCTGCATCACATTGGTGTGGTGAACTCCAGTGTTAAAGAGAAAGGAGACATCCAGAAGTAGATCATTTGTTCTTAGCTTTAAGGTTTGAACATGTCATACCTCTCTTTCCCTCCTTGAAGATACTTTTTTTGCCAAATCAGTTATTTTCAGAAGTTTGGCTTTCATTACTTGAATTAGGTGAAGTCCTGTTCCAATGCCCCCACATGCTTCGCTGCAAAACACAGATTTGAGGGATCATGTCAGTTTGAGTCATACCATTTAATTGGCTAATCCACATAATCTCTTTTGCCATATGCTGTTCTATTTTCACATTCAGTGTATTAGTGGTGTAGTTACATATTTGAAATGCCTTTTTTTTTTTAATTCCAACTTGAAATAGAGTTAATTCTGATTCAGTGATGAAAATAAACATAATGACAAATGGGCACTGGAAGCAAGTCTTTTGGTGTTTCTAACTCAAAACTTCATTATTCTCCTTGGACTGGTGGTTCAGAATAGCTTGCTCCAGGTTCATGCCCCAGTGTATTGCATATAACCATGAGATACAGAAGTATGATTTGTGTGCAGGACTTGGCATCAGTCACTTTAGACCTTTGAACTTAGTAGTCTTATCTTTCTTCCTAATACTTGGAAGTACTTGATATTCAGTTTTCCAATCTACTATTATTACTCTTAGCTGAGCGGAAAAGAAGTGATAGCATTGTCTTAACTGCATGTAGATATTCCTGCCTTTGCAAGTCATCTTGATGCTTGGAACAGTGCTCTGATGGATCTGAATATGTTACAGTATTACATTCATACTCCTTCATTCCCAAGTATGCCTTTTAGGAAGAAGGCTAGTTACTAGATGATGTACTGCTGTAAATGGGAGTGCATCTACTCAAGTGTAAATAAACTGATATGCGTGGAAGCAATTTCCACTTTGAGTTAATGATACACTGTTTGGAAAAGACTGTTTGGTCGCTGGTTTGCTACCTGAGGCTCAGTAAATCACTTTAATCTTGGTGTGCCTTTGTTTCTCCATTTATGAATTGGAAACGGTGGTGCTACTACTCCTTTTGTTGAGGACTGTGTAGGATAGAGCATTACTATTCTTTCTTGTTAATAGCACCACTTAGAATAAATAGACTCACAGTATGTTGGGAGTTGGAAGGGACCTGCAAGGATAATCATGTCCAGCTCTTGTGTGAGTGACTCATATGGGGACCAAACCCATGACCTTCATGTTATTAGCACCATGCTCTAACCAACTGAGCTCATCTCAATAGGAGTATTGTAAGTTGCTTCTATCACTCAGCTAAGAAAGAGGACATCTAACAAAACAAATTGTCAGTTTTTCTTTTACCGAGAAATTGTCATAAACTGCAGCATGAATTAATTAATGAAGTTGTTAGTTCATGGTTGTGAGATGGTGCATGTCACCTGTTGTGCTGGAAACCTTCAGATGTGAACTTGGTGCAGAGAGGGCATGGTCAGTTTGATACTGTGGCTGCTGTGAAGTACCTTAGTTTTGTCTTTGTTCCCATGGAAACAGTAGTTAGTTGCAGTAAGACAATGTTAATGTGAGATTCCACTTCCCAGCAGGATGTACACAGCAAATTTTTGGCTTCACAGCTTGTGTTTTATAAGAAAATTTGAAGAGTTCACAAAGGAAACAAGCTGGGAATAAAGTTCTTGCTCCTATTTTTAGGTGAAATAAGACCAAAACTGATAGCCTTGTTTACCTTACTCTGCTGTACCTGAATGTCTTGCAGGCCAACTCTGCCAGTTAAGTTACAGTGGTTTTGTTCCAGCATCTGTATTTTATTTGAAATAACCCTGTTTATGCTGAAGCAGGAGTAAAACTTAAACATAAAAATCAGCTGTTGAATGCAGGTACTTCCTGGGCAAAAGATAGTATGAAGAGTTAAATATACGATTTTCCTGTTTAGAAAATGAACAAGCTGTTTTTTAGACCTGGATTACACCTTTCAATTCTTTCTGATTGTGGAGTCTTTGTTGTTGAACAGTTTGAGAATAGGAGTGAGGATCATAACTTGACTATTTTAATGGAAAGTCCTGTCTCCAATCCCGTTTGGTCTTTCTTTCTCCTCGTCTGGTCAGCCTTAAAGCCACTGCAGATTGTGAAGTTCAGCAAGTTAAGTCTTTGTTGTCTCTGTAATGATTTATGGTCTTAAGCTGTGCCAGGGGAGGTTTTGGTTGGATATTATGAAGAAATCTTTTACAGAGAAAGTAATCAGGCATTGGAATGGGCTACCCAGGGAGGTGGTAGATTCACCGTCCCTGGAGGTTTTAAGATGAGACTGGATGTCTTAGTGCCATGGTCTAGTAACCATGATGGGGTTGGATCAAGGGTTGGACTTGATGATCTTGGAGGTCTTTTCCAACTTGGTTGATTCTGTGATTCTATGAATATCTCACATGACTGTATTCAGCAATTAAAGCATTTTAATGTATTTTCAAGAAGAAACATGTGACTTGATGTGAAAATAAACTCTATCTGCAGCTAGTATAGCTGTAATAGAAAATGCATATTCAAAACACTGTTGTTGTGGATGGGTTTGATGAGTTCCTAGGATAGTGACTTTTTAAATCTATTGACTGTGACGTCCTAAAGCAAGTAATCAAAACACTTTATCACCCCCTCACTTAAACTTGAGTAAGTCAGAATTATGTTTTTGTGTGTGGGTAAAACTAGCTTCTTTGCCTTTTGTAACTATTTAGTTCTTGGTTGCCTGTTTTTACTTTAGTTTTGCTTCCTGTTAATAATAGATCTTCCACAACTTCCCTACAAAAAACAAATTCCTGTGTCTGGACGTTGGAGCTAAGCTCAGTTATGCATAGCTGGTAGTACCCTTCTGTTTTTAAACTTGAGACTTACCCAGGAGCTTTGGGCATGTCCACACGAGCATGTGGTGAAAGGACTGTGCTCTGGCTCTGCAGATGCTGCAGTCCAGCACCATAAGATTTTGCTCAGGTACCCACAGCCATTATGATGCTATATAAAAAACTTAAGTTAGAATATCCTTTTTTGCAGTTGTGTGAAGTCTCAGTTTTAGTTTGGGTGTGAAACTGTACTGATATGATTGACTGCTTTTTTGAGCTAGTGTTTGATAGCTACCCCTCTGTTCATGTGGGCTGGTTTTCTTAAAAGCTTGCATCCTGGAGCTGGGAGCACAGATGGAACTGCTGGTGCAGGAGCTGAGGAGAGGGGAAGAGCAAGATCTGCCCTTTAGTGAGTTAGCTGTTAGACTGGCAAAGTTCTACTGTGAAATGACAGTTTCAGTAAGCTGTAGAGTTGGTGCCTTCACCACATCCCTGTAACTATTTTTGTTCCATTGCTGTGACAAGAGCTGTGATGTGAATTTAGAATAGTAACTGAATTGTGTATGTAAAAAATGCAAGTCCCCGGTGACAGGTGTTACATACAGCAGTGGTAA